GTCCTCGGTTCCCTTCCTGCTCCCGAGGGACCCCCTGACTCACCTGCTCACTGCTCCCTAACCCGACCCCCGCGCTTCCCTACCTTCGTGACCCCAGACTCGTCCTTCAGCCTCCAAACCCTGCCCATGACCTCAGCCCTGGGTTTTTAGAGTCTTGTGACCCCTGATATCTTAATCCCATCCCCTGACCCCAGGTCTTTGCCTCAGGTTCTCTTTTTCTGGCCCAGGGAGCAGCTGAGGACACCAGTCCTCCCAGTTTGGGCCTCCTTCCCTGTCCTCAAAGACCTCTCAAAGCCCCACAGGACAACTCCACACATTCCTCGTGCAAGAGAATGTGTGATGGGAATGGAGACTGGCACCTGGGGGTGCAGGGTGGGTGAGGGTGGCCCCCAAGCCTGGTGCAGTGGCTGGCTCAGCCCCTGGGGCCCAGCCTCTCCTGACAGGTCTCTGTCCCTTCTGGTTGCGGCTGCCTCTGCCCATCTATCTGTCCATGGCTCAGCGCACTTGCTCTGCGGTCTCTGTCTGTTTCTAACCTTCCACTTGTCTGCTCTCTGTTGTTCTGTGTCTGCCGCCACCTGTCTGTGTCCTTCTGTCCCTCTCCATCTTCATGTCTGGCCTAGCTCCTGGGTCTCAAGTCCGTTCGTCTGTGGGGTGAAGGGTACTGCTTAGGCCCATGTCTTCCTCTTGCAGCAGCTACCTCTTCGGAGATGGACTTGTATGACTCCACTCCCCTCTTCTGGAAGGTTCTTCCTGACCTGACCCCCAATCCCCAACGTTCTCCCTCTTGCTCTCTTGACTGATAACCCATTCATCCTCTCACCCAGAAGGCCTTGCCCTGTCCTCTCTTCACTGAAGGGCTCTGCTCTGGGTGCCCCATATTCTCCAGCTCTTTCCCTCCCACCCGCCCCTTAGGGGGTTGGTGGAGTGTGGAGAAGAGACTCATGAAGACCCCCTTCCCAAGTTGCATGCTGCCCAATTCATCACCACAATTCTGGGGGTTTCCTCTGTTGCCCCTCCCTCCCATCCCAGAGTTCAGGCCACCAGGCTCTTCTCAACCTCTGGGTCTTTCTCCTTCCCTCAAGGTCACTCACTTGACAGTGCAGGACTATAGAAAGAGCACTGAACTAGTAGTCCTTTTGACTGCTTTTCATCAAACTAATCTTCAGCTTCTGCAACCCTAGTCATTTGTCCCCTCCATGCCTGTCCCCCAGACTTTAACCATCCATGCATTAAATCTGACCCTGGCCCAGGCCCATTAATTTTTCTCGTGGGCCCCTAGTGGGGCTGGCCTAGGGTCAACAGGGGCTTTCATCCTATACACAAAGAGCCTGGAACTGCTTCCTTTCCCCTATGGCATGGCCTTCCCCAGGATCCCCCTTCTCACTTATGAAACTGGGACTAGGCAACACAGGCAGGGGACACTCAGGCTCACGTGCCTCCCTGCCCTGCAGATAGCCCCTCAGCCCCAGTGAATGTCACCGTCAGACATCTCAAAGCCAATTCTGCAGTTGTCAGCTGGGACGTCCTGGAAGATGAGGTTGTCATCGGGTTTGCCATCTCTCAGCAGGTAACTCTTGAAGGTCCTTGGGAGGGAAGGACACATCAAGATAATGACTACTAGAAATGGAGGATGGTGGGGTAAAGAAATAGAAAGGAAAAAGAAATGCAGGGCAAGAGAGACTGGCAGCACATACGTTGCACATGTGACAGGAAATTGGGGCCTTGAGGGAATTTGTTAGTGGAGAAGGGTTCAGGAGCTTTCAGCTGGGACATGGAATTCAGAGCATGGATCTGATCTCAGAACCACCAGTGTTTAGGACCTGGCTCCAATTTTCACTAGGTGTATGGTCTTGGGCAACTTCTCTAATCTCTCTGAAGATGTTTCCTTAAATATACAATGGATTTTGTGAGAGAAGGGGTCTGGTCAGAGCCCTCCAACGTTACCTGAAGTGACAGGATGATTGTGTTAAGTATAGGATTTGTCACTACTGGGAGGTAGACAGAAACAAGGTTGGTGTCTGGGCATTGACAGATGGCCGGTGCTCACTTTTGCAGAAGAAAGACGTGCGGATGCTGCGCTTCATCCAGGAAGTGAACACCACCACTCGCTCCTGTGCCCTTTGGGACCTAGAGGAGGATACCGAGTACATCGTGCATGTGCAGGCCATCTCCATCCAGGGCCAGAGCCCGGCTAGTGAGCCTGTGCTCTTCAAGACTCCAAGAGAGGCTGAGAAGATGGCCTCCAAGAACAAAGGCAGGCCTGGGGCATGCTGGAGGAGCAGGGTGGGGGCAACTGGGGCCAGCACAGCAAGTGGCATGAGGAAAGCACCCTCTCCTCAGTCCTCTCCTTATCCCTGCCACCAAGTAAAGCAGCATCTGAGAAGGAGAAGGTTCACTCTGGTTCTCCAGGACACTGGGTACATAAACTCTCACCTTTGGATAAAGCCTTATTGCTGACAACCCAAGCAGACATCAGTGTGTCTCCAGGTCTCTTTATGTTAGGTGTGAGGGCACCTATACACATAAGCACTTATTGTCAAGGTCTTGGCCCTAGAGGAGTGATTGGGGGAGGGAGGAGCCCCAGACTAGTGTCTCTTTCTCTACAGATGAGGTGACCATGAAAGAGATGGGGAGGAACCAACAGCTGAGGACAGGCGAGGTGCTGATCATCGTCGTGGTCCTGTTCATGTGGGCAGGTGAGTCAGGCCTCCAAGCCTTTCCTATCTTTGGGATATCTGGGGGTTGTAACCAGATCCCTTCTCTCACAAAACCAGGGGTAAAGGGCTTGGAGAGATCTAAGAAAAGAGTGAAAAGTTTCTTGCATCCTGCCTGGGATAGCTCTGGGGGCCAAATCTGATCCCTTCTCTAATCCACTTACCCAAAACAGCACATTACTAGCTGCCTTCCAGCTCCTGTACATTTGGGGCATGGCTGTAGCCTCTCCTTCCTCTTCTGAGTAGGGGCTTCAGGCCTGGTCAGCACACGGAAAGTACTGCCCAGCCTCAGGCTTGAGACCCTCTCCTCACCTGCCTGGTTGCATTAAATCTGACCCTGGCTGTCCTTCTAGACCCAGCTCGGGGCCTGCCACTATGGAAACTCCCCCATCCACCCCCTGGATGGCCTCCTGCCCTTGTGCTACTGCATACTGTCCTCCCCTTTGACCCTCCTTATGTTGGGCTCAAGGCTCTCTCTTCCCCACCTGATGCTGGTCTATGAGCTCCCTAAGGGTAAAGTCCAAGTGTCCTTCATCTTTTTTTTTCTCCTTTCTTCTTCTTCTTCTTCTTTTTTTTTTTTTTTTTGTGTGTGTGTGGTGCTGGGGATTGAACCCAGGGCCTTGTGCATGCAAGGCAAGCACTCTACCAACTGAGCCATATCCCCAGCCCAAAGTGTCCTTCATCTTTGAAATCAACTCAACTGACATTTAACTGACCGAACACCCCATTCCAAAGAGTAGTGTTACAGTCAGAACCAAGAAGAGCTCTGTGCTTGCAAGGAACTCAGTCTGGGAGAAGCCAGGCCCAAACTTAACTATAATTCAATGTGTGATGAGTGCAACAATAATACCAAGGATGGGGGCAGAGGAGAGGGTGTTAATTCTGGAGCTAGGAGTAGAAATCAAGAAAAACAGAGCGGAGATAACATTGGAGTTGAACTTTGAAGGAAGAACAGGTGCTCACCAGGCAGCCAGAAGAGGAAGGGAGTTCTAGGCATGATGTAGTCAAGAAACAAATTAAGCTCAGTCTGGCCCACTGTGGCTGTGACCTAGGAGAGAAGGCAAAGTGTGGGGGAGTAAAGCTCAGTGAGTCTTTGGAGTCTTCTGAGAAATTTGAACACATTGCTAAAGCCTGAATTACATGGTAGTTGAGAGGGCATGCTCTGTTGAGAAAGCATTGGGGGGAAAAATGATCCTCAGGGCATGTAGAGAATAGGCACTTGGGACAAAAAGCAGGAAAAACAAAGGGTCGTACAAAAGAGGAGGTTTGCTTGTAGCACATTATTAGATTTGGCACCCATAGTATTTACATAATCATAACACCATAAGTATAGTGAATTAACCCAGAATTGTGGTGTAATTCTGTTAGGAGATGGAGAAGGAAATAGAGGGAGTTATTAGGCTTAATCTACTATGATGGGAAGTCAATGGATATTTAAAATAGATCATGAAATAACACTATAAATTCAGAGGTAAAAATGGGGAAAACATCTAGGATTAGAGTTGGTTGCCTTAATACTCTCTTTCAAAAACTAGTGTTCACATATTTCTGACTTGATGAAACTAGACATTTAACAGGCCCTGGAGTTCCTCTCCCAGATGCACCGTGGTGTGATGATAATAGGTATCCTTGAGTTGTAAGGACTAAGTGAAGCTGCATGTGTCTGTACACAGCACAGGGCCAGGCACGTGCTCAACAAGTGCTGTTATTGTTTTGTTTTCCTCTAAAGGAAAAGGGAGCTGCCAGAGGTTTACAGGAAGGGTGGGGAGGAGGCATGATCAGGTACATGCTGTAGGAAGATCTGCCCAACAGCAGCGAGAGGGATGGCTGGTGAGAGGAAGGTGGAAACAGGAGCTGGAGGCTGGAGGCAAGCTCCAGCAGTGGGGCAGGGGAGGCTATCTGGAACAATGTTGGCAAGCCCTGATGAGGATGAAGCACGAGGCATGGCAAGTACTCAGCCCTGGCCTCTGACGGCTCCCGCGTGTCCTCCCTAGGTGTCATTGCCCTCTTCTGCCGCCAGTATGATATTATTAAGGACAACGAACCAAATAACAACAAAGAAAAAACCAAGAGTGCGTCAGAAACCAGCACACCAGAGCACCAGGGCGGGGGTCTCCTCCGCAGCAAGGTGAGGGCCAGTCCTGGGCGGCTGGGAGGGTGGCTCCATGCTTTGTGCGCTGGTCGTCCCTGGACTGCAAAAGGGGTCAGCTCAGGGCCTGGCATGGCTGCAGCTGGGCAGAGCCAAGCTTGGCCACTGCCTGTGTGACACGGGACACTGCAAATTGATTTTGGATCCTCTCCTTTTGCACGATGCCAGGGACCAGTAGTGATTAAAAAATAAAAAAAGAAAGAAAGAAAAGGCGGTGGGGGGTGGAGTTCCTGGTTGGTGTGGGGCCGTGAGGGTAGGAGTGCTGTACTCATTTCCATTCCTGCCATGCTACGTATCTTGGGCAGGTGTTTACCGCTGTACTTTCATTTCCTCTTCTGTAAAACAGATATGAAACCTTTTCAGTGCTTGCTCTGAGCAGCTCAGAAGAAAGACATTAGAGAATGTGAGAGGATTTCATGGTTCTGACGATGATTAGCCAACAAACATCTGGCCCTCTCTGCATCTCCTTCTTCCATCTCCTTGTATCCTCGGGCTTACTGTCCTCTCTCTTGGCTTCTCTCTTTCTGGCGCCTTTTCCTGAAGCCTCTTATTAACTCCCATCTCCAGAAGCACCTCAACAATGTCCGTGGCTGAGGCTGTGCCCAGAGGCAGATCTGCAGGATGTGAGAGAACCCGCCAGAGGCATGACTCTGCTGGGGCAGACTGGGTACCAGGGCAAGAGGCCCAGGATTCAGTCTTGGCCACTCAGCTGAGTTTGAAAAGGCAGAGAAACAAGACTTACAGGCAGGGCTACTCTTTTCTTTCCACAAGGGACAAGAGCCTGATTTTTTAGGCTGTAACCCTGCTACTCCATTCCTCTTTCTGTCCTCTCTGTTTCCCACCTTTCAAGAAGTGTATTCAATCAGTTTTGGCCGCTTCTCTCATTTTTTCCCTCCCAGTTTCCAAACAAGTCCTCAGTGAACATCATCGAAGCATGACTGCCTGTCTGCAGGGAGAAGGATTTCATTTTTCTTCTCTGCTGGTCCCTGGGTCCTAGGCACAGAGAACTGACTGCAGCAAGGGAGGAGGCACAGTTCTTCCTCTTCCCCATCTTAGTCTGATGACAGAGGCTGAACTACAAACCCAAATTCTGCAAAAAAAAATAAAAAAATAAATAATAAATAAATAAATAAATAAATAAATAATAAGCCACAAAACTAAAAGGCCTGGCCCCATCCTGGGAAAGGAAAAACTGCATGAGACACAGCCTCCTGCCTCCTCTCCTCTCCTGAACTGGCTTCCTCTTTGAGAAAATGCACAAAACCCTGGGAGATGACAAGTACCAAGACTGACTCAAGCTGTGTCTTTCAGACCGAGGCGCATCAGGGAAGCCATAGGGCTGCTATCAAGCCTTTTCTGGATCCAGCCATCAAGGACTTGTTTGTGGTGTGATGCACACCCTTGTGAGTGTGTATAAGAGGTCACCTGCTAGGTCTCTTTTGGAAAAAAAAAAAATCAAAAAGTGGAGGGCACCACTCCAGAGGGCAGAGGTTTCTCCCAAGGTCTGAGCTCGTTGCCTGCATCCTGTTTTCTTTGACCCTTCCTTTGATGGTAAGATCATCAGCTGGGGTCTGAAGAAGACCTGGAAGGTACTTACTGACCCTGTCTTTTTTAGCAAGCATCTCTTGGGAGTTTCAGCAGTGCTGGCTTGGACAACTGAAAAAGCACATCCACGTCCTGCATCCTGGGGGCTGCTGAGCCACCCACTGTAGAATGGTAGCTGCTAGAAGACAGGCATGAGCCATTCACCACAGACAGAAAGAGCAGCCTGGCTGTCACTACTGGCCTCTGGGGTCTTCATATCTTGCCATCTCATCCAAGGTTCTGTGAAAGTTACGCAGGGTCCTCATGTCCTTCCCTAGAGCCTGAGTGGTGTAAGGTGACAGGTCTCTCCACTGTCCCTTACTGGTTTAAAAAAAAAAAATGGTGCTTGATGAGGGAACCAGACTCTTCCCTGGGACTGACACATTATGGCTGCCAAATGCTTGCATAGGAAGAGGCGAACTGTGCATCTTCCGCTGGTGGCCAAGGCAGGGATGTGGAAGGTTGTGCCTAACACAAGCCTGACACACAGCAAGTACTCAGTAAAAATATGTTGCACTGACTGGTAAGAGCACTGGCCTCCTCCAAGCCAGAGAGCTGAAAGCCATCACCCAGTGACCACCTCTTCCTTTCAGTCTACAAGAGCTCTCAAGGCTGGGTCAGCCAGCACTCTGCTTTGGAGTGTGGCAGCACAGGAGTGGAGAGACAGGAGAATGGGCAGATGTCAGCAATACTAAGGGCTTCCTCCTGGGAGGGCATGGGGCTCCACTCATCGTCTTGTGACTTCCATCCCTGCTGAGTGGGGAGCAAGGCTCCTTAAGGGAGAGGTCCTTACCTCTGATCCAGTTAGAGCAATAATCACTTTTTAAATGTAAAATAAAAAGACAAATGAAAAGGCACATCCTTGTCTTCTGGTAAATGCCCAAATGTTGCCCTCTTTTTCTGGCAATTGGCAGCAAGTCAGGATGTGTGGAGGAGGGAATCAGTTCTCTCTTCCATTTTGGCCTGCAGCTTCTTAGGGACATGCCTGCCAGCCAAGCTGGAGTTGGAAGGGAATTCTTGAACAGATGGGGGTGCACGTGTAGGAGAAGAAAATAGCTGCTCTATCATCCTCTTTCTGAGGCTCCCCCAAGCCCAGCTTGGGCTGCCTCATTGCATAGGTATGCAGGCTGGTGCTGTTTTAAAAAACAAAGGACTTTCCTCACTGGACCAGGCTGGGTGCTTTCCCTGGCTAAAGGAATGCAGTTCTTATCTCCCCAGGGTAGGGAAGGAGGGAAGAGGCTGCTTTCAGAGGTTCAGTATTCACAGCTGCTGTTCTGGGCTGTTAAAGGAACATCAATGTGATCCCAACAGCAAGCTGAAAGGCAGAGAGTAATGATGCCATTAGCCAATGAGCAAACCACTAAGTGGGGCACCTCAAAAATTCCTGTTCAGAGTCAGGGAAAGCTTGGATAGAAAATGTCAGATGAGCAGGGCTTGGAGTAGGCTATTCAGAAAGTTCTGAAAGCAGAGGGAAGATAGGTCTCAGAGACTAGGCGGGGAGGGAGGAGAGGAAATAAAGAGCACACAGAATTCTAAGCCAGCCTCAGAAAGGTACTCAGGCCCTCTGTACCCATCTAGTTTCAACTGATAAAAAAAAAAAAAAAAGCCTCAAGTCAGTATTATGTACAGTGGGGCTCAGGGAGCTCTATTAATGGGGGCTTCCTGTCTTCAAATTCATCTGTGCCTCTGATACATAAAAAGGGTATGAGGGAAGAACAAACAAGCTCTCAGTTTAAGTAAAATTCCATCCCTTTCCATTGCCTCCCTAAGCAACTACTGGTGCTTTTCCTGACTCAACTGTATTTGCATAGTCAAACCCCTGCAGGTAATGAACATGGTCCTTTCACCTCTCACATAGATCCCACACTTGGGAAAGGCTCTGACAGCCCTTTGGAGACCAAAAGACCTTATTTGCAAACCACAGTAGCCTGTAGGAGGAATGTTGGTCCCAGAGGCAGGGGACACTGCCTGGTAACCAACCAACACTTCAGGCAATCACTTTTCTGAGGATATCTTTGGTTTCCGTTTTATCAAAAATGGTTAAGAAGAGAGGATTCTCAGAGATTCTTACAGTAGGAACCAAGGGGCCAGTCTCCCAGAAATAAGAGGGAAACCCAGGGCCTCAGGGGAGGGAGACAGACTGGTGGATGTTTCTGTGGGCAGGAGTCCTTCTCTCCTCCAACTCCTCTCCTTTTAACCCCTAACTTCTTTGTATGGGCTTCCTCTAGAATCCTTTTAAAAAATTTCTAATTCAACTTTTTACAGAAATCTGTAGCATCTTGTCAATCCATTTTGGGGGGGGGCAGGGGGAACCATTGACTGGTACTTGACCACTTGACCATTGAGCCACATCCCCAGCCCTATTTTGTATTTTGTATTTTTTTTTTTTTTTAGAAGCAGAGTCTCCCTGAGTTGCCTAGCACCTCGCTTTTGCTGAGACTGGCTTCGAACTCCTCATCCTCCTGCCTCAGCCTCCCTAGCCACTGGGATTAGAGGCGTGCACCATTGTGCCCAGCAGTTGCCAATGCATTTATGTTTCAGATTTCTTCTTTCTTGCCCTCTTTAAACTTATTTGGCAATTTTTGAATTATGCTCTTAAGAAGTAGCCCCCAAGAACAAATTACTTCTATAAATGGACACTGCCTCCTCCAGCCGTACCAATAAAAATATTCCTAAGCATGCAAATGTGGCTTGAAGCTAAATTGAAGCTAAATTGAAGGAGATCTTTGTATACAAATGGTTCCTTAGTGATAACAACATTCCAAGATTATCATTTGTACTGCATTCAAAATTACCCAAAGATCACATTCCACTTCCTTCTCAGTGGGTGCTGGGGAAGGCTAGATTATCTGTCTATGGCATGTTCCAGTTGTTATAAGAAGAGAGCAGGTGGGAAGGAATGACAAGGCAGGAGTTTGTTCATTAAGGAATTCCAAAAGTGACCAGCTGACACTTCCTGGTGACAAGTGGAAATTTTTTCCTGACAGGTGCTCTAGCATACAAAGCAAGCATACCCTGGACTCAGCTTAGGAATAATTCTGTTCTCTCTTAGAAAAGAGGACAAAAACGGGAAAGAACACTATGAAAAACAGGGAATTCAGCTTCCTAGTTTTAGGTGGTTAGTTTCCCTTTCTGTGAAAGCTCAAAAGGGATCTTGTTAGAGAATGAGTCCATTCCTAAGTCTTAGACAAGGTCCATTTCTCCTTTTTCCATAACCAATGAATTGAGAGTAAGGAGCACCACCATTTCAGAGAATTCATTCTGTTCTCTGAAACCTTTGCCGCCTACAGAGTAACACACTGCTAAAAAGGAAATAATTACCAAAGGATATCAACACCTGACAAGAACACAATGGGTATGTGTAGGTCCAGTACCTCAGACTGAGACAAAGAGTATCCAGTAGCTAAATACTTAACACATTTATATTAAGCCTCTTGCCTGGACTCTCTTGGTTTAGAATATATGCACTTACATAACTTACAGAACAGCATTCAAGTGAGCCTGTCCAAATATATTGCTCTCTATTTTCTAAGCATGAGTTGAGATTTTAAAAGCATTGGCTAATATAGGTGACCAGCTATTATTCCCTGATCTTTTATCCTTGCTCCTGGGGGTAAGTCTAAAATTGAGGATCTAAGGAAAACTATCTCTCTCACATCTATCCACACTCATCCAACCTTTACCACAGGTTCTTAGAGCAGCAGTTTCTAGAAAAGTTGGGTTAAGAACACTCATCAAGGGGCTAGGGTTGTGGCTTAGTGGTAGAGTACTTGTCTGGCATGTGTGAGGCACTGGGTTTGATTCTTGGCAACACATATAAAAAAATAGATAAATAAAGGTCCAAAAAATAGATAAATAAAGGTCCATCAATAACAAATTATATATATATATATATATATATGAAGAACACTCATCAATTTTGTACTATTGATTCTGGTTTCTCACATCTTCAAAGGGAGACTGTCATGGAGTAGTATGGCTTCTTCATTAACCAGTGCCAGCTCTGGAAAAGCAGAGCTATACCAGCTAGCCACACAGCCATGGGAAATCAGCAAGGCATCCTGCCTGCCTGATGAGGGCTGAGCCATCTTCCTTCCCCTTCTGCAAAAACAGCAGCACAGTGATATTTCAGGCTCTCCCTATGTCAGGTTCCTGACATGCATCATACATAGCTGCAAATCCCAATCATTTTCAACATTTCTTAACTGCTGGGACACCTTCCTCAACACTGTAATTTACCCTCAAGAGAAAAAGGAGCAAAGCACCCTTGCCTTCCCAGAACCATATTCTATTAAATGCCACCCCCTTCCCATATCCCACTAATCTACCTACGCAAAAAAGGAAAGCAAATAACCCTCCTCCAAAGCCCGCAACAGACGGCCACAGTACATATGCCACTGACAAGAACTTTTATTTCTTTTTAATGACATTAAACACAACTGCTACAGGGAAAAAACATGATACAGAGGAGGCACCAAAACTTCAGTTTCATAATTGATCCTGACAACAATGCAAGTAAATCAGGGCCTGTATTAGATGCAGAACTACAGGTTATTTCAGGCTCCTTACTTATAAGTAAACTACTTAAACAGCACATTTTTACTCTGCTTTGTCAAGACCCCCTGTGGTGATAATGTCATCATGGATGAAGAAAGTTAGGTAGGCAGTTAAATGCACATAAAGATTACTCAAACTTAAAAATACAGCAGGAATTCCACCTGAAATACTAGACTTAGAGGGCAACACTAAATACAAGAGATTTGTAGCTCTGAAAAGATTAAAACTCCAGATTCTACCCACTACCATCTTTAAGGCAAATATGCCAGATAATGAGTTTTCTTTGGCTTTTTTATATCTTAAAGAATACCATGTTAACCACTAGAGAACAACTCTCTCCTCCCCCAGTCTAAAAGATTTAATTAAGCTGCTAAAGCTTTGGAAAAACAGAATTATATGAGCTAAGAGGAAATGTGATTGTCACATTGTCTAGTTAACCTGTCACTCATTTAATTTGGCAAAGGCAATGCTCCTATTACACATTCAGTCGTAAACCCTCCAGTACCAGGACAGGAATATGAATCTTAGAGTTCTGCCTAAGCAAAAATGCTGTCTTTTCACTCCTGGGTTGTTTGTGGGAACTAGACTGCTACAATGCTAGCTATTCCAGCTACATTTAATTTTAACTAAAAACTTTGGTCTCAAAGGTGGGTTTGGCATGTCTCACTCCATTAGGCTAATTTAGGACATCCTGGAGAAGTGACCAGTTAAGTAAATGCCAATTATGCCAACTGAAATACAGATTTAGACTACTGCCTTTAAATGGAATTTCTTCATTGCATTTTACTTCCAGAATCTAAAACAAACATCCAAGGAAAAGAGAGTCCTTGATTGGTTAAAAACAGTAAACACTTAGGGATATCTATCCAAATTTATTGGAGGCTTGAATGACTAGTCTTCTCCCAAGTCCATTTCTAAAGTGGGTAGAATATTTAAGATGGGTTACTCACATACAAATATGGGGCTGATAAAAAATACAACCAGAGAGGCTACAGCAACTATGAACAACTTTCACAGAGTGAACAGCAGCAGCATGAATGCCAGACTGCAAAACTTCCTAAAATAATGTCTAGAGCTGTCTGTAAAGAGAGAATAGCAAATTTCTAAGATGTCCATTAAGACAAATGCACAAAGTCTGTCAGCTTTGGTTAGAACACCAAACCTTATGATCAGGTAATGCTTTTGTGCACATGCTCAATCACAATACCATTAGACCCACTTGAATAGTTATGTGAAGGTATACATCCAGGCCTGAAAAAAGAGGAAATGGTAACATTCAGGGTCTAAAGGCACCTGTTAACCAATAATGGAAACGAGTAATAATTCCAAAGTATCTCCCACAGGAGGAAGGCTCCTTGGCTAGTACTCATAAAGTTAGGATTCAGCAGATGAAACTAAAGACCAACTGACATCTCAATGACATTGGGCAGCTCTTCAATAAAGAGAGCAAGGAGGCAGTTCAAAAGAGGCATAACCATGTCAAAAAGGATATATAAATACTGCTTTAAGAACCCTAGAGAGCAAAGTGGTCACTGGGGGTGGGGGACAAAAAAAAAAAAAACAAAAAAAAGGAAAATCCTTGAAGGAGGACAGAACACAGTCACAAGACCACAAGGTATTTAACAGAGGTTAGTCAGCAGTATTCTGTCAGAGTTAAGATGTATAAGATTTGTAAACACTATGTGCAAAATAAGTTTAACAGAATGAAAAATCAAAAAATAATAATAAAAACTGGGCTGGGGCTGTAGCTCAGTGGTAGAGTGCTTGCCTAGCATGTGCAAAGCCCTGGGTTCTATCCCCGACACCCCAACATGGGAAGGAGAAGAGTAGTTAATAGGTACAGAAAGGAAAGGATTTACATTTTCAATTTATCCTTTAACAGGATTTTTCTCCTATTCTATTCTACTTAGAATGTCCTGAATTGCCAACTTTAAAATACTGACAGGTATTCAGAGATTCAAATTTAAAAAGAGGGATTGTAAAAAGTGACATGTATCCATTCACAAGTCATCAACAATAATTAACACTGGCACACAGCCTGGTAAAGA